CATACTCAATTTCAAAAGACAAGAATTCAAAACTCCTTTGAGCGCGATGCCGTCCTTAATTGTAATTGGGGGCTCTTCCTTTCCATGTGACATCCTCTATAATGAATTCCCTGCTTGTCATCTTAATAAATCTCATTAGTTCTCTAATTAGGTGGCCATCAACACCAAAACCCACATTAGGGCTTGATTGCACTTACAGATATGTGCCACATGTTCCTTCCTTTGATTCTCCACCACGCAATCCCAACGGTCAGATTTGCCCGCGCCAACACTCAAGTGACGATCGAACGCATAGGAGACAGAACTGGACGCACCGGTGCCAGCCCTACTCGTGCGCGTGCTCGTGCCATCACCCAACGACCGGACGCGCCGCTCCCTGTGATAACCCAGCGTCAGATCGTTTCCAATAAGCATCTAGAGACGATTTTTTGCGATTGGACGCATCTACTTAGGTGTGACCGGACCCAGGCCAGAGTTCGGTCCTTCTTCTCCTCTATGCGCCAATGCTTCATGACTGACGTCAGCGTACATCACCTTTTGACCGAACGCAGGCCCTGTGCGTCCGGTCACATTCACTATTTAGCGTCCGATCAAAAAACCGAGGGTGGCCTTCACTATGCCCCAATGACCGGACGTGGCTGCTGAGTCCGGTCGCTGCTAGAGCAGCGTCCAGTCACCTCGAGACAACCCCTTCTCAACTCCAACTTCGCCACCCTTGATCATATGTGCTAACCACCAAGTGTATCACCTTGTGCACGTGTGTTAGCGTATTTTCACAAATATTTTCAAGGGTGTTAGCACTCACTAGAATCTAAATGCATATGCAATGAGTTAGAGCATTTAGTGGCACTTTGATAACCGCATTTCGATACGATTATTACCCCTCTTAATAGTACAGTTACCGATTCTAAATGTGATTACACTCGCTAAGTGTCTCGATCACTAAACCAAAAAAATTTCTATCAAGTTTCACCTTTGCCTTGAGCTTTTTGTTTTTCTCTTTCTTCTTTTCCAAGCCGAGCACTTGATCATCACCACGGTCACACCATCATCATGATCTTCACCACTTGCTCCATTACTTGGAATGTGCTACCTATCTCATGATCAGTTTGATGAACTAGGTTAGCACTTAGGGTTTTATCAACTCACCAAAACCAAACTAGCCTTTTAGGCTTGTATTGTCATCTTAGTTACCAAAACTCAAAGATATGAACATGAGCACAAGATCCGTATTGAGGCATCTATGGTTACGTTATCGAAATTTGTCTATCTAGCTCAGTCTTTTAGAAGCGCTAATAAGGGATAAATTATGTGTGTGCGTTCATACGAGGGAGCATAGATGCATTCGTGTGAACGTATACTCTCTCTGTCTCTTTTTAGTTGTTCCTAGATTTTCACGTCACTCAAATTTTCTTAAGTTTGATTAGATTTATAGAAAATATAACATTTGTATAATTAATCTAATAATACTTAATATGCACCATAAATATTAGGTATCTTTTGTATACATTTGGTCAAGATTGAATACTGTGACACGTCGAGAGAACAAGAGTTAAAAAGGAAAAAACAGTGTTTTGAAAATAAAAATATATAATAAACGGATCAACACCATCCAAGCCAAAGCGACCGTCGCTTTGCTGGGGGCCACGCCAAGCACACTTGCTGTATTGTACCCCCAGTGTTTGGATAAGAGCAGGAGCACGACGAGTGCACGAGCCACACATCCAGCCGACTAAAGAACAACGAATATGCTGCTTCTTCTTCTTTTTCTTCTTTCTTTTATATATATATATATATATATATATATATATATATATATATATATATGGCTGCATCGACTATATCTTTCGTGTACTCAAGATGGAATGGAACATTATCAAAAAAAAAAGATGGAATTGAACCAGTGACGCGTCTACACGTCTGAATTAGTTTAGCTACATGGGCCGTTTCAATCTGGTGTCGCTGATGCAAGGCATCTCCATTATTGGCGCGTCCTCTTCTCCCAGCGTGCAAAACATAACACATATTGCCGTCGATGCAACAAGCCATGGATACACATACTATATGTAGAGAGATGGAGCGGTCCGTAGTCTTGTTTGTATACGCGAATCGATTGGGTGACACGTACGTACAAAGGTATTGCCCATGGCGTCCCTGGTTCATCCATCTCTGTAAACAAGTCGGAATCGGCGTCCGCGTCCAGAAAGCTATAGGTACCAGTGGCCTGCCTGATGGAGTACGCGACAAGGATACTGAGCTCACCAGTCACCTGCCTCATCGTGCTGCTTACCTCCGATTGGAGTTCGACGTTGGCTACTTGTGTGCGTCGTGCCTGTGCAAAGCTAAAGTGGCGTGTAGCGTGTGTCCGGTACGTGGCGCTGGCACATTTATACTAGTAGAAAGAAACGAACTGCGACACGATCCTCCTCGCCTCCTCGGCACCACCGCAGCAAACACGTACTAGTAGCCCGCCAGGTGTCCCTGAACGAGCACGTGCACGGAGAGCCACGGACGCAACGCCGCGCTGCCTGCGCGCGGCGGTGACCGTGACCCCGTCCAGATGGAAGCACGCCGCTGACGACGCGTAGCAGAGAGAGGCAATCGTCCAGTTTGGCCTGCGTTTGACCGCCATTTGCATGGTTTCGCCAAACTAAACGTGCTCTTGTCAAACTCTCGGCTCGGCTCGGCTCGGCTCGGTCGATGTCATCTCACTAACCAGCCGTTCACATGTTGCTATAGCTAGGCCTGTAGCTGTCTGTCGCCATTTGCAACGCATGCCAATAGGCTTGCCCGCCTCATCACACCAGGTACGCCCGCCTCCATCGCGATCCTCGATCCAATCAAACCAAAATTAAGCCATGCACGATAATACTGGATATAGATAAGGCCTGCCCCGATGTTGTGATCAGGCCAGATAAGTACTCGATCGTGATGCTTCTTACTACTAACTCCCAGATATATACTCCTACATGTAAACTAGAGAGCGCAGTCTCTGGCTCGGGAGGGCTTCAACTTTTGAGCACCAGCGATAGCTGGTCTGTTCGCTTGAATTTATCAGCTAGAATCTACGGTATTTTTTATCTCATAATAAGATCCTCTTGAAGTAGTCGCTGAATTTGAAAGATCAAACTTTATCAAATTTGGCTTTTAATAATCAAAGTTGAATATGAAAACCATTTCACGGCTTCACCTCAAAACGTTGGGAGGTGAGAGCTAGTGGCGGATGCAGAACATGATTAAAGCGGGAACTGGTCTCTTTTTCTTTCTCTCTCCATTTTTCTTCTTTCCTCAATCTTTTCTTCTCCCTCACCCTCTCCATATTTTCATTGATGCACCAGTCGCTCTATCAACTGGGCCGCGCGCAGCCCGCAGCACATGGTACCTGTAGAAATAGAGCTCGCACATCCCACCAGAGAGAGGCCAGAGGCTAGTGCTATGATTGTGAGGCGCAGGCCTAATTCACTAGTTAATGGGCCTTTCCAAAGCTAAATTTTAATAGTTAATGAACCTTCCCCTAAAAAAAATATTTAATGAACCTTCACGGGACGGATAACCCGCGGGAGGCTGTTCCGTTGCTTTGATGCTTTCTCTGAACAGCCATAGATCGTATTGATAACTGCAGCTTTTGAATATACCATGTCAAGGTTTGAAGTCATTTAAAAATTCAAAAATTTGAATTAAAAACACCTAATTTAAAAAGAAAATTTGGCACTCGAAATATTTTTGAATAAAAAATTTATTCACTATAAAGTTGTAGATCTCGTTGAGCTCTATAATTTTGATATATAAAATTCGTCTCCATCTGATTTTATATGCAAATGTTATAATTTTTTTTAGACAACTATTAAGGGTTATGATTTAATAGCTAGGGACATAATGGCCAATTTCAACTTTTCTCTCCCGTCCAGTCCTAGAATAGTGTCTAAGAGCCAATTGTCACAATTAGGAAGTGTATTATAGTAAAGACTATATTGTGTAGTATCTATTAGCAAATATTCAACATTAAAGAATGTCGTACACCAAAAATTCTCTTGCTGAAATGTTTTGTGGTGGTTTTTCGTGTTGGTGGTTGACATTGTGGGGGTGTCTGTTGTGTGTTTTTTATCTTCTCCTTCTTTGTATTAATATACATAGACTGACGGTTGGCCGTCCACACTTCTCTTCGGGGGAAAACGTTGGTGATGAGATGGAAAACGTGATTTGACCTTGCATCAGTTATAGCTACGAGTTTCTTCGTAAGATAGGTAGACCATAGCGTCAAATATCGCACCTAAGAAGACCAGGCCAGTTTCTCTCTCCCAACGCTGACACCTCTATTCCCTCGTGAATTCCTCTCGAGCGTGCGTGTCCGTCCGAGTGTAAATAAAACGAAAAGAAATCCCAGCGTGCGCACGGCCGAACCGTCTCGTTCTCAGCTCGCCGTGACGTACGAACACTCTACAAATGGCTCTCCTCTCCCTTTCTCCCACCAAACCCCACCATTTCTCCAATACTACAAACACCCTTTTCACATCCCTCCAAACACCCATATACAAAACAATGTACAGAATGAAAATATGCTTCCATTGACGCATCTCGATAGCTACATATATGAATGAACTGCCATGTTTTTTTTTTTGCAATTGTTGAGCAGGTACAAATCGTGGATTTTGATAGAACAAACTACAAAAAGATGACGGAGTTATCTGTAGAAATGTCAGAATGTTGGCACCTAGTAGCGAGAGATACATCATATGGTTCTTCAATCGTTTCATGAGGGTGACTTGCCCTCACAAAAACACTTCATTCTCCATATTGACATAAACATCGCAACTCGATCTCTTCCGTTCCAAGTACAAGCTCTTGTGTTGTCGTCTGAGTCTTGCATGGTGGTGGTGCTTCTTCTTCCTCTTGTCGAGTATTTAGGCCGCTTGAACAATGTACTGATAGCCAGATAGCCGAAGCTTGTATTTATTAATTTATTATATATTATTCGATCCATATTTATCTCGCTCGTGCCTATGGAGTCCTACGGCGGCGGCGGCGGCGGCACGCGGACGTCGGCGTCCTCGCGGCGCCCCTGCACGTCGGTGCCCTCGCAGCGCCCCTACACGTCGGCGGTGACCTCCCGCGCCGGCTCCGGCGCCTTCGCGTACGACGGCATGCGCGCCACGTCTCTGTCCACGTCCACGGCCAACCTCACGCGCTCCCTCCGCAAGACGGTCTCCTTCGCCCACAAGATGCCGCCGCCCTCTAGCGCCGACGCGCCGCCACCGCGGCGCGCGCTGAGCAGCAAGGAGAACGGCGCGGCGTCGACGGAGGCGCTGCTGATGTCGCCGCACCGCCGGTCGACATGTCCCTGGGAGCCGACGACAAGGCGGCGGCGGAGCACCGGGACGGTGGATGAGGCGGGGGGCGCGGGGAAGGGGTCGTCGTCGGCATCGGGCGCGCTGCTGCGGGAGATCATGGCGCCGCGCAGGAAGGAGGAGCCGGAGAAGGAGGAGGCCGCGCACCGGGCACGCATGCTGACGGCGCGGCTGCTGCAGTGGCGGTTCGCCAACGCCCGCATGGAGAAGGCCATGGCCCGCGCCACCTCCGCCGCCGAGGTGAGCCATGAGCCCATGACATGCATCATCGGCGCGCAACGCAATAAGCAGTTTCTTTTGACATGTCGTTTGGTTTTTGACGGGCACGTCGCGCCGGCGCACGCAGAACAAGCTGTTCTACACGTGGCTGCGCGTGGCGGAGCTGCGCAACATCCAGGCGGCGAAGCGGATCGTGGCCCAGCGGCGGCGGCAGAAGCTAAAGCTGGCCCGGCTGCTCCGCCCGCAGCTCCCCCTGCTGGCCTCGTGGGAGCCCCTCGCCAAGCCGCACGCCGACGCCACCGCGGACCTCGGCCGCGTCCTCTCCGCGGTCTGCACCAGCGTGCCGTTGGCCGCCGGCGCTCGCGCCGACATGGACGCGCTGCACGAAACCATGTTCTCCTGCGTGGGCACCGTCAACGAGATCGAAGCCATCACCGACATGTTGTACGCCACGGTACGTACATTACATTACACACACAAAGCGCATCATGAAAGCGTTACACGGCCGGTGCGAACTCCGGTCGTCTCGGTCGCCCACGTTAATTTGCCTAAGTACTACAGGCCGGCGCGACGAGCGGCGCGCTGGGCGAGCTCGCGCGGACGATCCAGCAGGAGATGGAGTGCCTGGAGGAAGCGACGCGGCTGTCGAGCATCGTCACCGGCTTGCAGGTGGGTGCCCGGTCGCTCTCGGGAGATGGATGTCTCACCGTAGCCGAGGCTGTAATAAAACCTCTGGATTGATTGCCAGATACCCCACTAGGACTGCTGCTACTAGTAGCTAGTACTTGTTCATGTCCACCAAGCAGCAAATAGGAGGGGCGCTCGTGTTGTTGAGCTTGAGTTGCTTTCTCTTCCCTGTTATGCAGATGCAGGAGGTGAGCCTCCGGGCAAATTTGATGCAGGCAAAGCAGAGGATTGACCCGGGGCCGAGGCTGGGGCGACGGGGACCGGCCACACCGGCGCTCGCAACATCTGGTTGGTGTTTTTGATCCGAGGACCAGACATGAACAGAAGCAGAGTACAAGTACTCACCCACTATAAATTAAGAAAATTGATTAAGGTGCATGACTTGTGTTCATCGTGAAGGCAGGCCACTTGATCATTCGACGTGTGCTAGCTTGGCGTGTAGTATATGCGTGTCTGAAATAAGTTAAAAGTGGTAGTAGATGATGGCGAGAGGTGTACCCTGCACTTGCGTCGCAGTGCACCTGTCCGATCCGATCGCCAGCCGGTTCTGCTGTCCTGTCCTACTGGAGTATATTTCTAGTGAAGTGAGTATTTATTCATTTCCTCTTGGCGGGGGGTTTAAGATTATATTCATTTCGTGTGTGTGCTTCACTGCTTGTGCATATATTTATGGATGCTGTTTGAGTTATTCGTTGGCACATGTGCACCGTTTCGTCGTAAACGATGGTAGATTATTTACTGCTGACTGGTTTGGTGTGAGAGAAAAATACTTTTCCAGCTTATAATCCACGATCGTATACGAGCAAGCAAACAGGAGGTATGTAATTCAAGTTATTCAAGGGCTTGCATGTATTTATGAACTACATACATCAGTTGTAAACATTGAGCTGAGTACTTATTCTGGGTCAAACAATGACTTGATTTGCTAACATGTGTTTTCGTATATTCTCCCTGTGTTCTTTTTTACGTGTTGTATTAAAAGTTTCTACATGCTAACAATATAAGGTTTATGCTTTTAGATTCACTCTGACAAATACTTTCATAAAACATAATTTACATGTTGTGAAACTACATAGATTTTCTTAAAATTGATGGTCAAAGATGAACATGTGACTTAGGATAAAAATAATATGACATGTAAAAAAAAACGAGGGAGTACTTATAGAGGTTAGAGAGTCTTTTTTCAAAGGTGTCTATGAGGTATATGCATTCACATGAGTGGAGTGCACGTGCGCTCCTGTAGATATCAACACCTATACTCTATGCTATGTACAGTAATTCGAGTAAAAACAATTATTTCATTTTTTTACTCAAGGTCAAGGTGCATGGTTATTACAGGTGATGTTTTCCTTTCACTCAAATGTACCATGCACTAGCCAAGCCGACCGTGGCTAAGGTTTTAACCAATTTTGTCCACAAAATAAACAGGGCGGATCTAGCACTGGGACGGGTGGGCTCGAGCCCTCACCCCCTATAAATTAGTATGCATGTAAGCTTAAAAGGAGGGTGATGCTAGGGTCTGGCCGTTTGGACTGAATCCTGCCGACGGCAATTATTTTGCGGAGGCTTCCAATGCACGCGTGATCTATTTCTGGGCCGTTTTGACTCTTTCCTTAATGGGTTGAACCATATGTAGCGATGCGGCATGCATGAAATCCAAAATTACGGACATCAGCACACATGCAATATTTTTTCAAGTAAAATAAGTCATAACTGCTAAACCAAGTATCGAAATTAAAATCCGATTGCACCATTGTATTGTTTGCAATAAACTATTCAAAACAAGATCTCACATGGATATATTTAGATAAAATTTTATTGATGAACATTTGTCTAATGAAGATAGAACAATTCTTTTTATTAAGTACAACAATGTTGTAGGTCCATGATAAAATGTTCCGTCATTATAAAACAATTTTTGTAAGTTAAGGAGAATAATATTTCATATTTAGGATAAAAACATTATAAGTTCTTGTGAATGGTCTTATAATATCTGCGAAAATAGAGGGAGAATGAATGAGAAAATCTATGAAATATGTACAAATAGATAAATAACATAGCATATTAAAAATAGGAAAAATATTAAAAGATAGAATAAGGCATAAGAAAAAACAAAAATAATAGAAATGAAAAAAGTCCAAGTAAAAAGAGGAGAAATAAACAAAACAACATGCCAATACAACTTGAACTACCTAAAATATACCATAAAACATCTCACATGTACTATATGAATATTTCATCACCACTACAAATGTAAATGGTTTGTCTCAATTATGAAATATTTATACTATTATAAACCATATCAAACCATCATAAAACATCACAAAAAATACATCATAGAACATCACATGTATACCACATGAAGATCACAAAAAATACATCATAGAAATCAAATATATACTACATAAACATCGTCGAATACATCATAAAACATCACATGTATATAACACCTGAACATCAAAAACATATCATAAAACTTCAGATGTATACTAAATGAGTATCACAAAAATACATCATAGAATATCACATGTATACTACGTGAACTTCACAAAATAGATCATAGAACATCACATATATAGTGTGTGAATATCACATGTATACCATATGAACATCACAAAAATACATCATAGAACATCACATGCGTCGGGTCATGGTATGGCTCGAAGCTCCTCTCCCAAATACTAACGGTGTTCGAACGAAGATACAAGGGTGACATATATGGCAAATCCTCATAGTTATACCGAGAACCCTACAGGCCGTGATCATATGAGAGCAAGGGGCATGCATGATCTGAGAGACGTTGCAACTGCACTCTACTTTTTCAAGATCAACTCAGTAGTTTTATCCACCATAACGTTCGCCGCCCAAGCTTGTGCCATCCTTGCCTCGTACACTAAAGATATGGCGGCGGGGTCCATACGGCTCAGCGGTGTGCTGCTTGGCCAATTCCTCGGTCTCCTTCAAATGTTCTGCTCTGGCCTTTCCAAAACGCCCCTGCTTAGCTGTATTCCTCTGCGCAAGTTTCCACCTCTTGACAAAATATTCATTGCACTTATGAAAGGAGAACTCAACAATTCCCGACACAGTCAACGATCGAACTATGGTGAATACACGGTTAAAAGACTCCGAGGAGTTAGTGGTCATGATGCCATACCTGAAACCCCCCTCGTCATATGCTAACGCCCACTTAGCCTTCTGTTCTATCTACGCCTCTAACCAAGTGTTTCCCGCTTCATTTAGCATCTTGTCTAGTTCTCTCTTTGTCTCCTTGAACCGGTGCTCTGTACGTACACAACATAGAGCCTTTACCTTGTCACATACCACCTTCTTCCTCTAACGCCGCCAGAAATTAGAGGCAAAGTGTCTCATGCACCATCTGTGCACTAGAGGCGGGAACCCATCTATATGCTCAGCTACAGAATTAAGAAGCCCTAGGTGACGGTCCGAGATTAAACATATAGTGTGAGATGAGCCAAGCACTTGTACACATATGAGCCGCATGAACCATGACCATGATTCATTGTTCTCTCCCTCTACCAAAGCAAAAGCCATGGGTACTATCTAGTCCTCAGGATCAATAGCAGTAGCCATCATCAAGGTGCCCCAATACTTTCCTGTTAGGAAAGTGCCATCAACAAGTACGACTGGCCGACAAAACTAGAATGCATGTTCCGTTTGCGCGAACGACCAGAACACACGATAGAGGACATGCCTCAGCGGGTTCCGAAAATATATCCCTCTGATGTCCACAAACCATTTCAAGCCAGGGTTGTAGTAATGCATTGCACATCAGATGCGGGGCACCCTGTTGTACGCTTCCTCCTAACTATCCCAACGAATCGCCAGGGCAATTTGCTTAGCATGCCAAGTCTTTCCGTACTTCACATCATACTTAACGAATCTAGATATGGACTGTTGTAACGAAGACACCGAAATGTCGTTATTGTCATCAACGAGCCCCAATATACGATGGGCAAGGTAACATACAGTGAGCTGCTGATGATTTTCCTTCCCCCTATTTGTTAGGCAAGTGTGGGTTTCGACCACTTTACTTATCCTCCACTTGCCATCACTCTATCTCTTTCATGCATTTAACCTCCACATACAACCATTTTTGGATATCACGTGGTACCTTAACTTCTGGTCTGAATGAGTGACGACGTACGGCCTATGGTGATACACAGCATAGTCCTAAAGGAAGAGCTTCATCTCTAACATTGTATTGAATATCATCCCCTTACTAAGGATTTCTTTCTCATGGTCATATAATAATTTCCTACACATTTGGAGACGGTGTCACAAACTACCATATCCGTCATGCTAACATCCCTATAGTTCAGAATGCCCCTGAAAGGTATGTTCATCGACCTTAGTTGTTCAAGCTTAGTCGCTTTGTAAGGTGGTGGTGGAACATACTGCTACGCTTCACTAATTCTGCCCCATGAATCATAGGGGGTATCATCTGCTGGTAAATCTATGACTAGTCTACCCTGAGCGTGGATAGCATGCAAAACCTTAGTTGGTACTGGTAATGGCATACCATGAACAGGTACTGGCATGGCATCAATCAGTGTGGGCATAGCATGTCTACCTCCCTAGTCATCATCTGAATCATCCGAATCACTGCTAACTACATCACCGATCCTGTCCTCCTCCTTCTGCTCCTCCTCTTCCAGTTCGAACTTGTTCACATCGAAGTCATTGCTTATACAGCCTACTGGACTTGAATGAAACTACTCCTGCATCAACGGACCGTCCAAATCCATGTTACCCTGAGTTGCTTCCCCTTCAACCCACAATTCTTGCTCATTGCCTCCAACACCGTCAATGGACGGCCTGTCTAGGACACCCTACATCCTATACCCATTCTCCACCACCACCTCAGTCATGGGCACACTGGAACCTTGGAGCACCCTATTGTAGTGGGACCAGTGAGTAGGGTCACGCAAGGGCATTAGGACATAGTGTGCCCTAGTCTTCCCTGAATCAAACCTCCCCTTTAGTGTGAAATCACCGCCAAACTTTGCATTCTAACGGACACAAAGGTCGGTGAAGCTAGGAGGTTCATCAAACCATTCTAATTCTTTTTTCATATCCTCAAACATATCATCTTCTCTCCTAACACTTCCTTCGTAGAAAACTCTAACACAACAATCCATCTACAAAAGCGTTTCAGAAACTTCATTAGGTCATCGAAATTGTCGTGCGTACTAACTAACTTACTACACCTAAACTAACTAACTATACTAACCAATATAATATTAATACCTATACCAACAATTCTAACTAACTATACTAACTA